ATCCACATCGGAGACAGTGTGGCGCTTGTTGAAAACGTCTGTGGTTAAGGCCCAAAAAACTGCATTTCAGAAAAAAATTCCAAGGACAATCTCATGCAAGGAAAGAGCCCCACCATTAAACAAACAATCTAGGATGGAAACCTCCAAAAGCTCTAGGGGCAGCAAGAATGACTCAGCTGGAGCACGGTAAGTCCCTTGTCCAAGGTGTCCTTTGTGTGGGAAGTGTCCCCCTTTCCAGGAAGGGTTCTCACCTGACGTGGGCCACAAAGAGGACCCTGCTTCCGCAGTCGGGGCTTCTAGAGTGCCTCCACTGTCCTTTAGGTTTTCTCTGCTGTAATCACTGGGGATCTCAACCCTCATCTGGGTCATTTCTGTCTGAAGACCTCTGTGATTTTCTTCTCCTCTTGGAGAAAGAGAGGGCGGAGGTCAGTTCTGGGGCTCCACAGTTCTAGGCTTTCTCCTAAGCCGCCTACGGGAGCGGAAAGAGATCACGACGGAGAGAAAGGTCAATAAAGAGGATCCCAGAGGAGCACGAGATTGCAAGGGCAGGCCCTCATGGGAGACAGTCAGAACCCCGACAGGGTCAATATCAGACCTATTCAGAGGGAGAGGACACACCGATCGATTCTGTGGGCAGAGGATCCAGTCCTGTCCTTCCAGACTTCTGATCTACAGAACTGTGAGATGACAAATGTGTGTTGTTTTATACCACTGTCTCTGTAATCTGTTAACAGGCAGCAATAGAAAACTAATTCAGATGCTTGTCTCTATTCTGTTGATTTTTTAATTTTCAAAACACGTATGGTAATGCCCATAAACTAAAAAAGACCAAAGAACCACAGTAAAAACCTTGTGCCGTGCAAATCTTGTGTTCCCCTTCCTATGACTGTTCCCAAACCCTTGTATCAGGAAGGACACTATGAAGGGCATTTCAGGCGCTGGAGGAATGTCTCTTTAATGTGACCAACCCAATCTCTAAAAGAGTGAAGAGGCCACGATACTTAACTCCCCATAACATTCTCTACGAATCCATCATCTATCTCTATTTTCTAAGATCATGTTTTAGCTCCTTGTTCTTCTGAACTCACCACACAAGGTTTTATAGCAAGTACCAGTTCCCGGCACAGGCGAACCAATTCAAGGAGAGCAATAGAACAGACACTCTATTAAGTTCCCCAAACACATTGTTTACATTGAATGCAATCTCTCCTCCTATTCGGACTAGAAATAAAGAACAGTTCTATTTTTGGAACTCCATTTCTAACGAAAATTTCAACTTACAGGTCTCTATTTTCCAGGTGTTCTTCTGCTCGATTCCAGTCATGGACACCTCACTCCTTAGGGTTAGCGAGTTCCCAATGCCCTGCAGCCTGGACTCTCTCAGTGGAACTCAGGGGAACGCAACCTCAAACCTCATCTATGAACCAGGCCCTCACCCTCAAAATCCAGGACAGTGTGCAAACCCAACAGGCAATAGCATCCACCCAGGAGGAGGGATATGTTTGCACGTCTCTTGGCCCAGATTATCCGAGAGAACAGAGCAGTCATAACATAGAAGAGAACAGAGAAAAATCATATGGATTTCAGCTTTGCCAGGATGTCGGTGAAGTCAGACGAATGAGCATAAACTCATTGGAGGAACTCTCTCAAGAAGGATTTAATTGTTGACAAAAATAGACGGTAGGTACAGATGCTACCCAGTGTTGTCAAGAGGGTGGAGAAAAGAATATTCTCTTAAATGCTTGGGAATATGAAGTGGTAAAGCTTCTTTGCAAGGTAGTAGGGCAGGATTTAGCAAAACTATACATGTGCAAATATATTTCTAAACCCAGCACTTCCCTTTACAGAGACAGATGCTAGAGTAATACTTACACAAGCAACGATAGCTATAGACACAGACATAGACATAGATATACAGATGTCCCATGCAGCATTGTTTGTAAAACACTGGAACGAAGTCCATGGCCATCAATTGGAGAACACTTATTTATAGTGGTCCATCCATACCCTGAAAGGGTCTGAAGCTGTTTGAAAAAACAAGGCAGCTAATAACAATGCAGATGGGGATGGACTGGGAAGAGCTAAGATGGACTGAGTATTTACTCTGTGCCAGGCACTGGGCTCAATGCTTTCCCTGCACATCTCATTTAAACCTAGGACAACGCAGTGGGGAAGAACTCCCATTTCACCCATTTTTAAGTGAGAAATTGAGCCACAGAAAATTCAAGAAACTTAGCCAACATCACACTGTTACCCAGTCAGGTTTGCACCTAAAGCTTGTGAGACCAGGGTGCTCTCTTTCCTGGTTCTTTATTTGAGGGATTTCCAGAAAGAAAAATACCAGCCTCTGATGCCCTGAACTGATCTGACACTCACAGCCTGACCGTTTTGTTCTCATGCTGGAAATAAACCACCTCACATCCAGAATATCAACCTCAGACAAGATTACTCTCAGACTTGCATAAAATGAGACAAAACAAGGCTACCTCATAATTTTGTCCAGGCACAGGCAAAGACAAGGTCACTATGCAACCTACAAAATCCCAAGCATCCTCCTCTTTTTCTAAGGAAATGGCTGTTACTTCGTTAGTCCAGTCATAGAATTGCCCCTGCTGACAACAGTATTCAGTATGGAACACACCCTGCCTCCTTCCATCCTTCCCCACATCACCCAGCCAAAGCCCAAATCCTCTAATACGTTCCTTCTAACGCCCTCTTTCTTAGATCGTGGGGTGTGTTCTTTCTGGCTGCAAGGAATGAAAGACCGAACTTGCTGACGAAGAAGTGTGTTCCTGGCGATTTGGCTTAAGGGAATTGACACCAGCTTTCCAGGAGGAGCAGCTGTAAACACCCAGCCTCAGGAAGGAAGCTTATGTTCTCTGTGAGATATCTAGGCTCTGAAACTCCACAACTTGTTTTCACCCTTAAAGAAAAAACAGATTCTTTCCACCTAATCCTTTTAGTAACCAACGTGAACCGTAGGAATTTAGGCAGGATTTTTCCACGTCTGATTTAAAGTCGAGAGATTGAGGACAAGGTGAAGAGAGAATCTAGTTAAGAGAGAACGTGCAGGACAAATATAGCTTAAAAGGACCTGGGATCAGTGAAAACCCGGTGTCCCTCGCGGGGCCTGACCACCCTCCCTTCATCTGACAGATGAACCAGCCCACCTATTACCCAACGAAAGGCGGGCGCTGGTCCTCTCTGCCAGGTCTCTCTAGCCCCAGGCTGCCGCAGCCTGGGCTCTTCTCCCTTGTCTAACCGCGCCAGCGCCAGAAGACCTGGGTCCAAGAATTGTGTGGAGATATCTACACTACCATCGTGTGATATCCTAAGAATCAGAAATTTCTGTTGGTGACAAAGTGACAGGACTGTCATATGCCCACATTCAGACGGAAAAGCTACATTTCTTGAAGAAATTAGTCAAGTAAAGACGTCATTCTCCCACCCACCTTAGATGTACGACGTTTTGCAGTGCATGTCGCTGGATCGCGTGGCAAGGGCTGTTCTAGGCGGTTTTGGTGACCGGCGGCCTCCATCAAAGGCATGGAGCACTTGGCCGGCTCTGTGGGGTCTCCTCCCGCAAAGGGGCAGGGCCCCTCCCCCTTCCTTTTCCTAGGAAACTGCGGGACACTGTTCCCAACTCCCTCCCCTGGTGAGTGTGAGAGCGTCATGACTGCTCGTTTCTTCCCCGGAAATCCTGTTCCTCATATCTGTCCTTACCAGACACACCTTCTGAGTTCATCTTTCTTCTCCTTTTATCCCCTCAAAATCTTGCTCCCATTTCTAAATCACATCCTTGGCCTGAGCCTGAAAATCTTTTGCTGTTGCTCTTGTTCCTTCTATGGTAGTTTTAGTCCTCAAGCGCTCTTGTTCTAAAGTGGTCTCCGGATGAAGCGCCATCCCCAGGCATGAGGCCTAGCACCCCGCGGCCTAAACCGGGAGGGTGATGACGTCACTTCCTGCTCAGTTTCCTGTCCTGCCATTGGCCGGCAGGGTGGAGTGGGAGGGGAAAAGTGCGGGCAGGAGGCGGTGCGTGGGTCAGAAGGAAGTAGCAGTGAATGACACCAGGCCAGGGGGCGGGTCTTATGCAGATGAGACAGGCCCAGGGGCTGCTGTTCAGACTCCCGTTGGTCACAGACTCTATGACTTCCTGAGCCACAGGGATGGAGTCCAGGATGGTTGCCTGAATTTGAGAGCAACTTCTTTGCAGAGGACCCCAGGGACTGGGGGAGGGGGTCCTAGAGACTGGGAGTGGACTGTGTAAGGCTATAAGGCTATGCCAGGGCAGCAGGGAACGATGTTTCATGCGCTGTGCCACAGATAGCCCCCAAATGGAGGTGCTTCCTCAGGGTAAGGTTGCTGAATCGTACTTCATCGTTTGTCATCCCCATCATTTTTCCAACTTTGAGGGTCTGACTGTGTCATATGTGACCCCGAGTCCTGGTGCATGGGCTGTGTCCTGTTTGGGATTTCCTGAGAGCTGTCTTAATCCCGAGCTGTTCTCCTAATCTTTCTTTCCTTCCAAATTGGCCACTCTAGCTCTTCTGCTGATCTAGTGCTGTGGGCACTGAGTTCTCTCCTGCTCCCTTCATGAGGCCTGCCACAGACTCAGGGGAGGAACAACACTGGCCAGGCCCAGGGTCTTTACTGTCTGTTGCTTGGCTCCTGTTGCTGCTGGCTAATGGTTTTTGTTTTGTCGTTGCTCTGTGAGTGAGTGTGCGTGTGTTTTGCCACGTGTTTACATTGGGTGTGAGCTTTTGGGGACACATGAGAAAGCTGATGCTGGGAACCTCAGGCCACCTTCTGTGGGTTCTGCTGCTTCTCTGGCTTCTCTCCAGGTTGTTGACCTCTGTTGGAGGCCACTGTCCCCTCACCTCTGCCTTTGGGCATTTCCTGTCTACAGGCCTCTGACATCCTTGGAATGCTCTGGCCACCCAGCCCTTGAGGAGCTCTTGCCTAGGAACCCACAAAATGCCTGGGGTAACTGGGAATCCTCTTCTCTGCCATGGTTATCAAACACACTTCCTTCTTAGAAGGTCCCAAGAATTAGGACAATTCTGAGTCCCCCCACCCCCTACCCCCCAATAAAGCTTGGCATCTCAGTCCATGGCTCTAGAATGCACTGGATTCCAAGCTCCTCAGAGATACCCGCTGTTGGTCCAGGGACACTAGGTCAGAGCTATGGTTGCCAGCACCATGCTTGTCACACAGGGCCTCCTCCAGTCCTGGTGCCACCACTTGTCTGGTTGGGACCAGGGCCCACCTCCTGGGCTTCCCCTGTGGGTCACGTGGATGGAATAGTGTCCCACACCTCCTAGTGCTGTGCAGATGGAGATACCCCAACTGCTCACTTAGCACAGTTTGTGCTTCCTGGTATGATCTGCATTGACAGAATGATATATTTTCTTCAACTGGATCATGCAATATGCAGAAGGCTGCAGAAAACATAAACGTACACCTTAATGAATGGCTGTAAATTAAAATAACGCCCACCTAGATCAATACCTACAATTTATGAGACTTCCAGAAGCTTCACACGTGCCCCTTCCTAAAGACATTTTATTCCCTGCCCTTAGCAGTAACCGCAGTCTTATGTTCATGGTGTTCCATTCCTCGTTTACTTCATAGTTTCATTTATCATGCACTCCGCACAGGTCTGGGTTTAACCTGTAATCATACGGTATATATTCTCTTCTGTCTGGCTTTTTTCACTAAAAATTATGGATTCAGGAGTCATCAGTGATTCCTCCGTTGCCATGGCTAACGAACTATACCCCGATTTAGTTCTCCATTCTATTGACGATGGACATTTGGGTTGTTTCCAGTTTGCGGCTCTTTCACACAATGAGGCTATGGTTCTTATTGTGCAGGTGTCCTGAACTCAGTGGATCACACAACAAGGAGTGGAATTCTAGGGTCCTGTATTTCGCCTGTCCAAGACTTTCTGAGGTTAAAAAACAAATTATAACGCAAAGCTGCAGATTGTAAAATTCATAGGAACAGAATAGAATAAACTGAATCCATGTGATTACTGGATATATAGATGCAAGCTTACATGTTCGAGTACTAATCAGTGTGTTTTCTATGTTCATCCTCCCCGCTCCATTCAAGTTTGACATCTCCACGTATCCAACTAGAATGACCTGGGAGGGCTAGAACCTATTCAGCAGGGGGACCCCATGGCTCCATGAGGAGACCTGGCCTACACATGCTTTTCTCTTGGGAGCTTTTTATACTTTGGACTCTCCAGACCCTCTCACAAGACCAGGGTTTGGCAAATGAAGGCCTGGGTGGGGTGGGGCGGAGAGTTGGGAGGCTACAGTCCTGTTGTGGGTGAAGGATTTGGGCCCAGGCTTGGGGATAGCCAGTGGAAAAAGAAAGGATCTCCAGAACGAGGGCATTGGAGGAGGAATGAGAGGCTGTTCCTGTGGAAAGAAAGGAGGCTGGAGGATGAGAGACCAGAATTTGTGTTTGCAGACTCGGATAAAGGGGAATTCCAGAGAGAGGGGCTGCCATTCTGGGGCCAGGGACTAGAGCCACCTTGGTATTCAGCTCCCCGTCCTCCACCTCTTCCTCCTTCTCCTCCTCATCTGCCCCTCCTCCCATATCCTGCCTCTCCATTCCCCTCCCCTTCCTCCTCCATCTCATGATGGCACACAGCGCGCCATAGGGAGCCACACAGTAGGCATAGGAAGATGTTTTAAGTTATTTTAAAATCAGAAGAAAAAGAAGTCTCTTCTGGTCAAAGAAAATACTTTAACACATAATAATAATAATTCGTTTCCATTATGCCAACACAGTGGTAAAAAATACTTTTTAATATTTTATGGGTGAGAGCGCCCAGGAAGGCAAAAGTACATAGGCCCCACGAAAGTCATCATGTGAACTGTGTGCTTTGTGTGCATTTGCAGGGTATTGTACCTGAAAGCAAAGACCTATACAGCCAACCAAACAAGGGCGAAGGGCTCAGCAGTTGTAGTGCAAGGCCTCTGTCCCTGGTGCTCTTTGGCAGAATCTCCCCCCCTCCAGGGAAGGGGTCCTACTTGGAGGGCCCAGAAGAGATTCCTCCATCTGAGCCTTTAGTTCTTTCAGTCCCGCTTTGGCATCTCCTCTCCTCTTGGTGCTGGATGTTCTCAGCGCTCAGGGGGAGAATATTTTCTTGAAGACCACGGTTACTGCCTCTACTATGGGGAGACACGAGGAAGAGATGCATTAGGCACTTATCAATGACCCACTTTTCTCCACATCCATGGGGTTGATCTGGAGTGAGAGAATGATTTAAAGAGATCAGATCACTCAAGAGGTTCCATCCAAACCTGGCAGCACAAAGGCAGCTCCTAAGTGAAGAGTCAGCCCTACTGTGTGGCATGTGGATAACTGCTTCCTTGGCCACATGGGCCCTGGAGACGACTGTGGCGGGAGACAAGGAGAGAGACAGCCATGAGGAAGCAGTGGGGGGGGGGGGGTCACCAAGTGTATGAGAAGAAAAACAAACAATGAGTCAGTCCATTGAAAAGAAAGATGTGTTTTAATTATGCAGGACGGCAGGAGGCTGTGATTCCTATCTTCTGGGTGGAATAAAGTCCCCTGAGATAACACCTCGCAAGTCAGGAAGCTTCATGACACCCCATATCACCTTAGAGATGGTACAATTAGCTGAAGGGCCTGATCCAAGACCACAAAGTTCATCAGAAAGAGAGCACCCGGCAGAGGGCCAGACCTCCAAAGAGAATCGGGTTGCCTTGTGACAGCCGGGCCTGGGTCACCAACCTGGAAGTCTCCTGACCAGCAGGGCGCTGGAGGCACCTGGGGTTCCTGGGAGGGGATGGGTTTGGGGGAGAGGGCAGGTGGATGTGGGGGGCTGAGCCCTTCAGCCAGGAGAAGGAGAGCCGAGCCACAGTGCTCTGCGGTCTGAGAAAAGCGTGAGGAGGAGATGAGAGCCCCAGGGCACGCTGGCTGGTCTCTGGGGACTTGGGCACCAGCCCCCTTCTGGCGTCCTCTCTGGGATCTGTGGATCCCTGAGCTCTGGAAAGGCGCCCATCCTCCCGAGCTGGGGGCCCGCAGAGTTAGCCCAGGCTGCTCTTGGCACGGGTGGGGGTGCAGGGTCAGAGCCGAGTGCAGGAGTGGGGTGCCGAATGCTGGCCGACCCCCGCAGACCTCGCGGTGAGCGACGCCAACCCTGCCTCCCTCTCCCAGGAGCGGACCATGAAGAGTCTGGGGGCAGAAGGGAGGGGAGACGAGGAGGGAACGGCCGGGGGCTGCAGGGCACGCTGGGGTCGGCACCGACCGCTGGAGGGAGGCGAGTGGCTGCTTCTGGGGGGACAACAAGCGGCCGTGGAAAGCGGTGCCCGAGGCGGCGGGGGTTCGGTGGGTCGCACTCACCGACGACGCGCAGCACGTTCCGGGAGCGCCAGGTGCGCGGGACAGAGCGCCGGCCCAGCTGCGGAGCCCGCCCCGCCCCGCCCCGAGGACGCGTGCGCGCAGGCCCCGCCCCTCGCCCGGCCCCGCCCCTCGCTCCCCCTCCTCTGTGGTTCCTGCCGAGCCGGCTGCGGCGGCGAGAACCGGAGACCCCGAGCTGCGGCGTCAGGTGAGTCCGCGGCGGGCCCGGGGCCGGGGTGGGCGAGCTGCCGGGGACGGGCCGGGGGCGGCGGACGCGAGGGGCGATGCGGGGTCCGAGGGTGCGGGCGTCTCCATCGGGGACCCCCATTCGCCACCCACGGCGTCCCCACCGGGGTCCCCGCCGCCCTCGGCCTTGCTGGGGCCGGCAGGCCTCGGACCGTTAGCTGGCGTGGAGTCGCCACGCTTAGACCCCAGAGTTCCAGGCAAGCGGCTTCGGGGGTGGGGTCGTTTCTGCCCTGAGAGGCTCGCGGGGCCCGTGATGAGGGGTGGTCTGGGGCCGGCTCTGCAGCAGGGGGCGCCAGGATCCTAGAGGATGCTGCCACCCTGAATCAATCGAGGAGGCTCTAAAGTTCTCCAGAACCAACTAGAACCCCTGCGATATTTTCAGGGATGCGAATGCCACAGGTCTGGGTTGGGTAAGATGCAGCCTCAGGATGGGAGACCCCACCTCTAGCGCTGCAGACCCCCTTAGTGGGTGGAGCCCCCATGCCGCGCGCTTGGAAAGGCTTCCCGCCCTCAGGGTCTCCAGTCTCCCACCCGTGCCCCGCCAGCCAGACGAGGGTGCCCCCTCCACCCAGCTTCTCTGTGCACTGCTCCCGTTAAATTCCCTGGGGAGGAAAAAAAAAAGCAAACAAATTCTCCGGGGAGGAAAAACCTGGAGTCTAATTAGCGTTTAAGCTTCTCATCGAGAAATCGTTTATCCTATGCTTCCGGGCCAGCGTGGATGGAGGGAGAGAAGGCGCCGAGGGTTTGGGCAGGTGGGATTCAGGGAGAGCACTGAGCAGTGGGGGGGACATCCACCTTTGGTTGAGGCCCCCCCTGCACAGGTTGTTGGCTTCCCCTCTCAGACCAGCAAGGTGGGGGGGGGGGTCGGATTTAACCATCTGACTCAGACCCCCTGGAGGGGAGACAGGCTGTGCCTCTCGTGATGCTCCTGGACCCTCGCGCTATTGCTGGGTTCCCGAGGCCTGGACCCTGACTGTTGGTCTGTGTCACCCGCTCTCCCACCCCAGGCGTGCCCTCTACTGTGCGGGTGCTGGCTCGGCCCTGGCCCTCAGGCTCCTGCGCGCATGGCCCTGCCGGCCCTCTGCTGCCCCCTATGGCCCTGCGGGGAAAGCTGCCCGTCCGGGCCTGGCTGACCCCCTCTCTGTGCAGTGGCTCAAGTGGACTCAACGGCCAGGTTCTTGGTGGGGCTCAAGGTCATTCCCCAGGCATTGGCCTGTGCTGAGGTGACTGACTCCAGCCCCAGGTGAGATGTCTGCCCTGCTGCAGGCCACATGCCCTGCCCATGGCCTGACCCCACTCCGGTTGTCAGCGCCCACCTAGAAGCAGAGTAGAAATGCACAGTATCCCCTCCAGACAGCAGGGCAGCCAGGGCTCCATGGGGCCCAAGAAGTCTTGGTTTACAATCCAGACCTGTGACTGCCTTTGGGCAGACTCACGCGCCGTAACTGCTCTTATCACACTTGTCACACACAGACACAGGCCTAGTTCTGGATTGTGTGGTGGGACAGCAGGATGACTCACGGTAGCTTTAAGAACACTTTCTCAGACTCACACACTCACACAGAGGCACACAGGCCTTTGTGCTCCCGCAGGTGGCACCCGAGGCCCCAGTTGGGTGCGGGTGGAAAAGAGGTCCCTCGATCACTGGAGGTCACACCCATGGATGAAGGAGGGTGAGCGTGTACCCTGCCTGTGTGCGCTGGTGTGCCCAAAGTACACGATGGACACACAGATCCCGTGCTCAGACGTCTACACCAGGGACACCGTGGGTGTGCCGTGTGTCTCCTGGGTGCTCATCGCTCTCTCTCCCCAGCAGTCTGGCCTCCACTCTGCCTTCAGGGGTGCTTCATATAGTTCTTCCTGGCACCTCCCGGGATGTGACTCTGGGCCCCGTGGCCATCAGGTCCCTCCTGGTCTCCTTCTACACCTTCCATGACCCCCCCTGTGCTGTGCTGCTGGCCTTCCTGTGGGGCTGCATGCAGTTGGCCATGGGCTCCTGGGCTTGGGTGAGACTCTTTTCCTGCTGAGGTGGGAACTGTGTTTCTGCTCTTCCTGGGGCCCCGAGGCGCCTGCCTCCTGCGGCTGCCCCTGCCCTCAGCATTTCCTTCTTTATATTCCGAGGGCTGTCCCTGTGTGTGGGGGGTGGGGGGGGTCGTGCCCACAGCCCTAAGCCCTACCCCATTCTGCTTAAATGCCAGGACACTTGGAGAAGTGCCCAGGCCCTCAGACCCTGGACTCCCTTTCCTGCTCTCCAAACCAGCCCACACAGGGCATGTCACACCCTCAGCCCTTAACCCCAATCCCAGCCACAACCCCCCTCCCAGCCCATGTCCACCCCTGTCCTCTGGGACTGGGCAGAGCTGTGACCAACTTGGTATTTCCTCTTGGCTGGCCAGGGTTCCTGCTGAAACCCTGCCCCACCATCTCCAGCCCCGTCAGTCATTAAAGGTCTCACCTCTGCTGCTACCGTCACCATCGGCCTTGGGCAGATCAAGGTAGGCTCACCACTTGGCACCAGGGCAACCTGCTGGGTAGAGGACCAAGGCTGGGTCCTGGTATGTGTGGGTTAGTCCTGCGATTCCAGAGCGCGAAGCACACGGTGCTCACATGGGCCTCCATGAATAAAATGACCCCTTTCGGGAGATGTTGGGGGAGGGTCAGAGTCTGCCACAGGTCATTTGGGGCACTAGTAATGACAGCCCCCACTCTTGGTTGAGTTTTCCCCCAGTACTTCCGCTGCCTCTACACAACCCAGCCTGCAGCCGCCACACGTCCTGAGCGTCCTGCCAAAATTTCCACAAGCAAATGAATCCCCATGCTCATTCAGCTGGGTGATTTCATTTTTAGATATTTTTCCAATTCCTGTTGAATGTGTTTCAAATGCCATGCTTCTTTATGTTTCTATTTAAACCTCGATAAGAAGCACTAGATCACGGCAATCCATCATCCGAGGCCGTCACTGATTCTCCTTTCCCAGGCTTTGACGTTCCTGGGGGGCAGGAGCTGTTGTGGCCCCGACCATGGCCACCCAGCGCTGTCCTTGGTATAAAGTAGCTCGGGTGGGCGTGCAGAATGGACGCAAGCTGCTTTCTACTAATGAAGTTGTGGGGCTCTGGTGGCAGACTCAGGGCCACCCCCTGCCTCGTGACTTGCTGTCCCCACCGGGCCTTTCCAAGGCCTGGTTCCCACGGCCAAGCTCTGCTCCAGGCTGGCCCATGACGGTCTTCCTTGATGGCGGGCAGGGGGCAGATCAAGGACAGGAGGAGACGTGTGTGTGAGAATCAAGTTCTGACACGTCTTCCCTCTCTCTCTGTGCTGGGACTGGGGCCACACTCTCCCTGTGCTTATTTCTCACCACACCCCCGGGAGGCAGCTTTACCATCGTCTCCATTTAGAGAGGAGAAAACCCCTTAGAAAGGTGGGGTGAGTGCGATTTCTATATAATGTGCACACACATGTCAGGGGAAGCTTGGCAAATGCGGTTTCATGGGATGGTCTGTCCTCTATTCTGGAACAACATCCTTCCTTTTTAGGGTCAAGACTGTTCCTTGATAGGATCATAATGCGGGTAGAGGCAGCTTCCTTATGCATATGTACTTGGTGACCCTACACCCTCAAAGTCATTGAACCTTGACTAGGTCAGGACAGCCATCTGAGAGCCCCTAGGCTGGGGTGGGTGGGCGTCCTCCTGACCTGCCAGGACAGAAGGGGAGGCGGAGGTTGGAGGTGTCTCCTGGCTAAGCAGCCGAGACTTCTGTGGCACCAGCACCTCAGGCCCCTTGGCCCTGGTGGGTGGCGTGAGCCCAGGGCAGTGTATTGTGGTCGGTGATGGTTGTGTGAACTGAAGGGGACAAAGATTGGCATCAAGGACAGGTGCACACCTTTGTGACAAATCAGAATGTCTTTGTATTTGTGTTTGATCGCTCGTGGAAGGTACTTTAAAGCCTGTTGGATTTTAATAGCCTGCTGGTCGTGCTGACCCACATTCATGTCTGTTATCTTATATAGAGTTAGGGATTAGATTCAGGGTCAACACAGAGCCTTTTAAGAACACTCTTGGATTCTTTTCAGTTGTATCCTGAAGGCACCTGTCACTTCTGGAATCCACTCCAACCACGAGGAGGAGAGTCTCTCCAACGCCTATGATATGGACTCTTCAGGAGTTTTTAGTTTTAAAAGTGGGAATCTGGAAGACTCAGTTCTTCATGACTCCAAAATATTTATTTCTTAATATTTTAGCTTTTCACAAACTGATGCTTTTCAGAGAGATGTTGTTATTGGGCTCTTTGACTTCTGAGGCCATCTCTGGGGGTGGGGCAGTAATAAGTGGGGGGCCACTTTCACATTCAGGTGCAGATCCGTGTGACCCAAACTCTTACACTGCTTTCCATTTGATGACTTCCCCGTGTTCCTCTCCCGCTCGGGCTGATGATTCTTTCCTGACGCTTGTGAATATGTGTTTTTAAACCTTAGATGCCTTAAAAAAAATTAAAACATGGAAATCCTCGTGAATATTTCAAGATTTCCTGGTACCTTGAACGTTAACTAATAGAATTCCTCTGGGTTTTGTTGCCCTAGTTCAGGTCCTTTGAAGTGAGTGAACAAGATTCCATGCTCCCTTCTGGGGGTTACTGTCTATGTTGACGATGCACAGCGCAGTCTTTTAATCGTCGTAACAGCTTTAGTGAGATATGGTTCACGCACAATACAAGTCACATTGTGTGGCCATCTGCTTTTATTTCTTTTGGGTGTATACCTGGGAGTGGAATTTTGGGTCCTATGGTGACTCTCTGTTTCACTATTTGAATACCCGGAAGCATTTTTTCCAAAGTGCCTGCACCATTTTACACTGCTGCCAGCAGTGTGTGGGGGTTCCAGTTTCTTCATATCCTCACCAACACTTACCGTCTGTCTTTTTGCTTCTAGCCATGCTGCGGGTGCGAAATGATATCTCACTGTGGCTATGAGTGGTACTTCTCTGGTGGCTAATGATGCTGGGCATGTTTTCATGCTTAATGGTCATTTGTATATCTTCTTTGGAGAAGTGTCTCTTCAGCTCATTGGTCATTTTTAAATTGGACTATTTGGCTTTTTATAACTGAGTTGCCACAGTCCTTTGTATATTCTAGACATGTTTCTTATCAGATATACGAGTTGCAAGTTTTTATCTATATTGTGGATTGTCTTTTCACATTTTTTTTTTAAAGATTTTATTTTTCCTTTTTCTTGCCGAAGCCCCCCAGTGCATAGTTGTGTATTTTTAGTTGTGAGTCTTTCTAGTTGTGGCATGTGGGACGCCGCCTCAGCATGGCTTGATGAGCGGTGCTGTGTCTGCGCCCAGGATTCAAACAGGCGAAACTCTGGGCCACTGAAGCGGAGCGAGCGCAGGCTTAACCACTTGGCCACGGGGCCAGCCCCTCTTTTCACATTCTTAATGGTGTCTTTTGAATCCCAAAAGTTCTGCATTTTGATGATGGCTAATTTACGCACAATGGAGTCTTACAAGTTGGAAATGATTTAGATATTAAATCATATTCTCATCCATATTTTGGTTATATAAGTTAAAAGCCAACTGTGAAAGGGTCAGGGAAAGATTCACATTAGTTCAAGATTTGCTAGAGATCCAAGAGAACTCATCAGGGAAGATATCAAATATCAAGTATTTCTTTATTATCCGTTTAGTGTTCATGGGATCAGTATTTATATAGTTCCTCTCTCATTTCTGATACTAGTAATTTGTGTTTCTTTCTCTTTTTCTGATTATCCTGGCTACAGGTTTCTCCATTTTTAAAATCTTCTTTTAAGAACTAGTTTTAGGGGACCGGCCCGGTGGCACAGCGGTTAAGTTCACACGTTCTGCTTCTCTGTGGCCTGGGTTTCACCAGTTCGGATCCCAGGTGCAGACATGGCACCGCTTGGCAAAAGCCATGCTGTGTGGTAGGTGTCCCACACATAAAGTACAGGAAGATGGGCACTGGCTCAGGGCCAGTCTTCTCAGCGAAAAGAGGAAGATTGGCAGCAGACGTTAGCTCAGGGCTAAAAAACAAAACAAAACAAAACCAGAGAAGGCAAAAATAATTTGAAAAGTGCAAGACAAAAACAGAAAGATCAAAAGCAATTTGTAGAAATAGTTACAAATATGGTAGGTATTCATCAAACTATATCAATAATCAGTTTAAATAGGAGTGGTCTAAATACAGCCAGTAAGAGACGGATTTCATCAGACTACATTAAAAAAATAAGAACAAACTACATGCTGTTAACGAGAAGCTCACTTTAATTATAAAGATACAGCTCGGTTAGAAGTAGACGCAACAAGAAGTCAGGCTAACACAAATCCAAAGAAACCCACAGGAGCTGTATTAATTTCAGAAAGCAGATTTCAGAACAAGGAAAATTCTCAGGGACAAAGAGAGGCATTCATATGTTAAAGGGGTCAATTCTACAAGAAGATGTAACAATCCTTAACATACATGCCTCTAACAACAGAACATCACAGTATGTGGGGAAAAACCAATAAAACTGCAAGGAGAAATAGACAAATCCACTGTCACAGTGGATGGACCCAGAAATGGACAAATCCACCCCCACAGCACTAAGCACTGCTCTGTCAGTAACTGACGGACGCAGGAGGCGGAACATCAGTAAGGACGAACTGAACGGTGTCATCCATCAACTGGTTCTGATAAACGTTTATCAAACACTGCACCCAACAAAAGCAGAATGCCCAGGCTTCAAAAGCTCACATGAAACATTCACTGAATAGAACATATTCCAGGTAAAAAAAAAATCACACTGCAACAAATTTAAAACAAAAGAAATCATATACAGTAAGTTCTCAGACCAAAAAGGACTTCAAAGTTTGAAACAAAAATGGAAAGATAGTTGGAAAATTCCAAGATATTTGCAGATTAAAGAACACATGGATCAAAAACAGGGGTCTCAAGAGAAATTGCAAATATTTTCCACTAAATGAAAATGAATATACAGCTTATCAAAATGTGTGGAATGCAGTGAAAACAGGACCCAGAGGGAAATTTACAGCAGTGAATGCACAGATTAGAGAAAAGAAAGAGCTGAAACAACAAGCTAGAGAAAGAAGAACAAAGGAATCCTAAAGTAAACAGAAGAAGGGAAATAAAAATTACAGCAGAAATTAATGACACTGAAAATGGGAAATCAATAGAGAAATTGATAAAACTAAAACTAGTTTTTTTTTTTTTTTTTGAGGAAGATTAGCCCTGAGCTAACTACTGCCAATCCTCCTCTTTTTGCTGAGGAAGACTGGCCCTGAGCTAATATCCATGCCCATCTGTCCTGGAGACAGCGAGGCCTCCTTGGAGGGAGATGGAGGCGTCTCTTCCTGGTCACCGTTACAGAATGTGAGGGCTGCAGAGGGGGCCTGGAGATCCTGGACCCGCCCCTCATTGCAGAGCTGAAGCGGTCGAGGCTCTGGGACGGGACCATAGGGACGAGGATAGAATCGAGTTCTGGGGTCAGCCTTCTGTCAACAAAAATAATCCATAGCCAATCTATAAATGAAAATTTGGGAGAGTTTATTCTGAGCTAAAATCTGAGGACCATGGCCCGGGGCCTTTCTTTCCAAGGAAAGAAAGGGCACCAAAGAAGTGGGGTGCACAGAGTGGTTATATACCCCCAAACAGGATGTTTCACGTATGCTTGAAATGTCCCTTTTACAATAGTTGTGAGACTACTCTGTCAGCACAGTGATTGATGGAAACAGCAGGTAGGTCTGCTGTCTCGGTGAACACAGCAGGGTGGCAGGTCTGCTGTCTCGAGCTGGGTGGTCACAGATGAGCTGGGTGGTCAAATGTGAGTGCAGCAATCAGTTCCTAGCCTAAGGAAAGATGCTTATCCCTAGGGAAATGCCAATGTGGGGGGAAGTTGCACGTTTATCTTAAGGCCATTTGTTCTTGCCATAGGAAATGTTTTAAAGCAGATAGACAATGCGTGTTCAACGGCCACAGTCAGGCCCTTTTGGAAAAAACAAAGTCAGGCCGAATTATGTTTATACCAAATGGCTTCCTCATATTCTCCAATATATCCTACTGCTTGCCATTTTTATTTGTCACTTCGTAATCCCAGGAGCAGCGGGGGCCCGAGTTCTAACCTCCACTCTGACGCTATCCTTTCTCTTCCCAAGGCCACCCCATCACCGTCACCGCCCTTGTGCACGCGGAAGCCTGTCTTACAGACTCTGAGGATTAGGACCAGGGACCAGCCGTCTGCATGTAATTTATCTCCTACTTCTGCTGCTTTTATTCCATTTATTTCCCATCCTTCAGCTCCTCTTTGTAGCCCTTTGAATTCCCTCTTTTGACGGTTCTCCTCCTGAAGGACCTGGTCTCGTCCAGGCACTTGAGGTCCTTGGGTCTCAGAGTCTGACTGTCCGCAGCCCTCCTCTCCCACTTTCTTGGCATCGCCCTGGCTCTGACCACGGGCTGCACATTGAACCGTGTTGAGAAGCCCTGACTGGCTCGGGCAGGGAGCTGGGCTGGGAGTCAGAAGAGCTGGGTCCCCTGTTTGGGGCCCCCGTGAAGCCTGGCTCTGCCCTGGGCACCCCACATGGTGTCCTCCTGCCCTGGGTGGCCCTGGACACACATGATTGTTTTCTGCCTTACAGCTATCAAGGTTATGCAGTTTTTCTTAAAAGAGATCATTCTACTAGGAATCTGACTTCAGACATCCTCTTGTCCTGGAGTCAAGAGAACGAATCAAGGAAGGAAAAGGGGCTGAAAGAGAACGAGAAGAGGAAATGTGAGTGTGGCGAGCGGAAGAAGAAGAGCCAACGGCAGATAAGCGCACTTCAAGGGAACCAGAAACCCCGAGGAGAGCGCTGGTGTGGCCGCTGGCGCACGCGGCCGTGCAGGGACAGAGATGATGGTTAAGGTCCTGCTGGCAGGTGAAGGCTGTCCCGACAACATGCCCAGGAAGTGGAGACCCGGTCCGTGGACGGCCCTGAGTTTGCTAGGCTGAGCCCTCCACTGGCTCCGGAATTTGGAGGAGAGGGCTGGAGGTGCTCACAGGGCCGCCACGTGCCTGACCCCAGGAGGTGCAGGTCACACCGTGTTCTTTGTGAAAGGTATCCCTGCAGGGGCTCCACATGCTCGTCTTGCAGGACCCAGTCCTGCCCTCCCGACCCTCTCAAGGTGAACAGGAGCACCTCAGCTAGTCCAAGTGATGAGACAGTGTGGGGAGGCCTGACTGACCCCCCCCTCCATACCTCCCCCCCGAATTCAGGCCTCCTGGGACAAGCATGAAGGGGACAGAGGCTCCATCTCACACGGCAGGGGCAGGACCGCTTACTCGGCCCAGCTCTGCATCCCTGCGGGCGCTTAGTAGTCCCCGCATCAAGCAGGCCACCCTGCAGGGTCCAAACCCGGCTGGAGCTGCCCGACCCCTGGGGTCCCTCACGGCACCGGTTCTCAGGCTGAGGTTCTAGAGACTTTCCATAGACACAAAAAAATCAAACAGAACACCACAATTTGAAGGAAATTCAATGCAATGCTAACTTGTGATATGTTAAAGAATGAAGATTATAAATTACTTACATTTCCTTTATTTTCCAATTTTGTTAATAAATAAAACAAATATAACTTGTATTATACTTTAAAAAGCAGTGTCTTCTGGGATCTTTTCTTGCTGGAATATACTAGCACCATACAATTTATGATCTTATTATTAAAGTATAAACATTTTCTTTTATTTGAAAGGCACAGGCAAAGTTTGGTGGGGGTGTTAGAAAGAAAAAGGATTTTTAGGGGCAAAGGGCTGAGCTCCAGGTCTGGCCCATTTTCACTGTGCAGGTCTCAGGACGGGTCCTGCTGAGTGTGGGTGGAGGGCCGGGGTCCCCACGCCCATCCTGGTCGTCAGACCTCCTGCTCCTCACAGGGCCCAGCGGGAGGGACTCAGTTTTCATCCCGGAGTTACTCACAACATTTTTCCCAGGTGGCGCCTTGCACAGAGGAGCTGGCCTGACATCCCCTGGGACAGCAGAAAAGCTGTCCTTGCCCACTATTCTGGGTGGTTCTGGACTTTAAGAGTCTCCTGTGTTGGACAGATCCTGTGTGGCAATATCTCGCTTAGCCTGGTCCAAACTCCCACCTCCTGTCCCCGAATGTGCGTCAGGAACCCAAGACGGGAGCGCGGAGCCCACCTGCTCTGCCCCCAGGCTCTGCTCAAGGTCAGGCCAGCAGCGCCTGCGGAGTTAAAGCTCCACACTCAGCCCCCTGGCCCGGTGTCTCCCTGGCTTGACTGACAGCGACTCTTTCAATTATGTGAGAGGATATCGCGCATCTCCAGTGTTCCTATGTGACCGTGAAATACAGGTTCCTCACTGTGGGAAATAGGACTTTCAAATCTCTTCTTAAATAACATCTGATTGTTGCAATTTTTGCATTTGAAAGTCCTTAGAATTCTGAAATTCTAACGAATATCTGCGGACCTGAAGGAAAACTGAGTTCACTCTATCCGTGGGGCAAGATCATGATTGAGAAATGAGGATCAATAAATGACTAAAAAATCCTGTCTTTCAGTCGACCATCTGTGCAGGGAGAGAACCACAGTGGGGTGCAGCAATGTGTGCAGAAAGTCAGAGAGAGAAGGAGCGGTGAGAACACTGAACTCGAGAACAGCGCTGGCCTTTAGACAACAGCATTCCGTGTCGACAGCACCCACGGGGTCAGTGTGAACCGTGGTAAGCAGGTGCAGTGGACTCTTAGGAAAAAGCTCCGTGATCTAATGCTGGTGAAAAGTAATCGAACCTGAAGAGGGGGTCGTGGGCACCTCAATTTGTAGCCAAATCAGACAGGAGTTGTGGGTAATGTGGGGACCCACTGCTGTGCCTGGCATCTGAAGTGGGATGGAAGCAGTCTTGTGGGACAGGGCTCTTAACCTGTGGGCTCCGACGCTGTCTCCGGGTAGACAGTGTCAGAATCGAGTTAAACCGTAGGACGCCCAGCTGGTGTCACAGAGAATTGCTTCGTGGGGGGAAAACCTCCTACATTTGTTGACTAGAAGTGTCAGCAGTGACGCGTCCCCTGTGAGGAGTAAAGGAGACACACGGCAGAGAAACGCAGGAGGGGGAAAGACTGAGTTTCTCTAACACAAATTGCATTTTCAGAAATGTCGTATTCGAGTAATTCATAAATCTCAAGAACGTTGCCCATCACCAACAATTATATATTTTTTCTTGGCTTTTAGACAAAATCAGACATGTACATTTAATTTCATTAATATTACTCCATACATATTTGTAAAAATTCCTGTTTAATCTGTAAACTACACAATGGTAGGGAAAACTGTCATTTTAATTTGACTTTGATACTTTCTGAAGACCCAAAACTTTCAGCTTTATTAATACTCACCCTTCACTAATACCTGAAATAAATACCCACTCATTTTGGCTCAACAACTTAGAATATGTGGGTCCAGGCTGACGGATACGCGACCTATCGGCTGGAATCGTGTGGAATCAAGGGAACTGAGATGGGAGTTGGCCGTGCCCTATGCCCATCCTAGGAGATAGATTCTTCACTTCTTGTTGCCATCGTGATTTACCGCACAGTGAAATATAAAAATGTAGGTGTATCAAAAATCATGAAGCTTATTTTAAGTATTTTTGAGATTGATAATATGGGAAGGTCATAATGCAAGTTCATAAATCGTACATCTTTTTAAAGTCCTTATTAATGAACCTTCAGTGAAATTTGGATATTTTTCAAATATAAAAAGCTCAAATGGGTTTTAGTTTTTGAGTGACTGCTGCAGACGTAATTAACCAGGTTTGATTAACAAAGAAAGAATAAAAGCGCTGCAGGCCATCTCACAGCTGCCCGCTAGGTGGCGCCATGTCACAGGATCCGAAGTGCCCCCTCCTCCGGGTCCTGACGCGGGCCTCCGCCTCCATCCTGCTTCCCGAGGTGCGGACCGGAAGGCGAGGACCCGTCTCTCCTGCGCCTGCTCAGTTCACTAAACATTTCTGTCTCTTGACAACTAGGGATATGCTGACTGCCTGCTCCTCACAAGATTATGACAAATCATAGCAGTTTAAATTCACAGGTAATTGTTCAGTGTTGTTCTTCTGGAAACCTTTAACCCTGAATATGGCAAAACTCCACTACGCCCAACACCCAGATCAATGTTCCTTCCTGTAGGAACCTTTCCTTTCTCCCCAAACCAGTTCTTCATGCTGCTCTCCAGGACCATTTATAAACATCTCTGACGGACTCTGTAACCATTTTTGTTGGGATTGGTGTGGTCTTAAATCTTTAATGAGACAAACTTAGTAGAGAGCTGGGTCTGTGGCCTTGATTTTGGACATGAAATACAAAGAATACCCAGCAAAAAGACAACAAAGAATTACTATTGCATTGACATACAATTTAATTTAATAATTTGAAATCAATCCAGTTTCCTTTATATTTTCTCCAGACTTTCTTCTTCCCTACACTTTCCTGCTTCTCTAAACTCAAAAATACAATATATGAGTTCAACAGCAGACTAGAGGAAGCAGAAGAAAAGATCCATGAACTCAAAGACAGGACACGGGAACCCATCCATCCAGAGCAGCAAAAAGAAAAGAAGAATGAAACAGAGTGAAGATAGCTTAAGGAACTTACAGGACAACATCAAGCAGAGCAATATTTGCATTCTAGGGGTCTTAGAGGAGAATAGAGAGAGAAAGGAGTAGAAAACTTATTTGAAGAAATAATGGCTGAAAACTTTGCTAACCTGGGGGAGGAAAGAGACATCCAGATCCAGAAGTCCAGAGAGTCCCAAATAAGATGAACCCAGAGAGACCCACACCAAGACACATTACAACTAAAGTGTCAAAAGTTTAAAGACAAGAAGAGAATCTTAAAAGCAGCAAGAGAAAAATAACCTGGTATTACAAGGGAACCCCCATAAGACTAATAGCAGATTTTTCAGCAGAAACTTTGCAGGCCAGAAGGGAGTGGCATGATATATTCAAAGTGTTGGGGGAAAAAAACACTAACAACCAAGAATGATCTACCAGCAAAGTTGTCCTTCAGAAATGAAGGGGAAATAAAGAGTTTTCCAGACAAGAAAATGCTAAAGGATTTCATCACCACTAGAACAACTTTATAAGAACTGTTAAAGGGACTTCTTTAAGCTGAAATAAAAGTGTTAGTGTTAGCTTCAAAAATATAATCAATACACTAAGAAAGGAGAGAACACAAAGTCATGTGGTATGCTCAATTAATACAAGAGAAGGTGATAAAAGAGAGGAAGACAAAAAAGAAACATAGATCAATTGCAAAAAGTAGACAATACAGGGGCTGGCCCGCTGGTGCAGTGGTTAAGTTCGCACGTTCTGTTTCAGCAGCCAGGGTTTGCCAGTTCGGATCCTGGGTGCAGACCTACACATCACTTATCAAGCCATGCTGTGACAGGTGTCCCACATATAAAGTAGAGGAAGATGGGCATAGATGTTAGCTCAGGGCCAATCTTCTTCAGCAAAAAGAGGATTGGCAGCAGATGTTAGCTCAGGGCTAATCTTCCTCTGGGAAAAATAAAAGTAGAAAACACAACACACATGGTAGATATTAATCCAACAATATAGATGATAATTTAAATGTGAGTAGTCTTAATATACCATTAATAGACAGAGACTGGCAAAGTTGATTAAAAAAAAAACAAGAACCAACTATATGTTGTCTACAAGAAACCCACTTTAGATATAAAGACACAAATAGATGAAAAGTAAAGAAATGGAGAGGAGTATACCATGCTAATATTTATGAAAAGAAAGCTGGATTAGCTATATCAATCTCAGACAAAGCAGATTTCAGAATACGGAAAGATATCAAGGATAAAGAGGGCATTACATAATACTACAAGGGTTAATTCTCCAAGAAAATGTCATAATATTTAACATGTATGCACCGAACAACAGAGCATCAAAATATCAGAGGCAAAAACAGCATTACAAGGATAAACAGACGAATCCACTATTATAGCTGGAAATTTCAACACTACTCTATTAGTAATTAATGGATCCAGCAGCAGCAGATCAGCAAGGAAATACTTGCACTGAACAGTGCTATCAATCAGATGGATCTAACTGACACGTACTGCATACTTCATCCAACAACAGCTCAATGCCTGTTCTCAATGTCACATGGAATGTTCCTCAAGTTATTGGTGACATTGTGGGCCATAAAACATACCTCAACAAATTTAAAAGAATAGATTTCATACAAAATATATTCTCAGGCTACTATGGAATTAAACTAGATATCACAACAAAAACATAGTAGAAAAATCCCAAAATACTTGTAGATTAAACAATACCTTTCAAAATAAAATGGGTCAAAAAGGGAGTCTCAAGAGAAAATTTTAAAATATTTTGAACCACATGAAATGAAAGTATAATTTGTCAAAATGTATGGGAAGACTGTCCTTAAGAGGGAAATTTATAGCATTGAATGCAACATATTAGAAAGTAAGAAAGACATAAAATCCATAACTTAAGCTTCCACCTTAGAAAACTAGACAAAGAAGAGTAACATAACATCAAGTAAGCAAGAGAAAAGAAAGAAATTATTGCAAAAATCACTAAAACTGAAAATGAAAAATCAAAAGAGAAAATCAGTGAAATCAAAGCTGGTTCTTTGTAAAAAACAAGCAAGTTGATAAACCTCTAGACAAGCTAACCATGAAAAAAAGAGAGAGAGAGAGAAAACATAAATTACTAACATCAGAAATGAAAGAGGAGTCGTCACTACTGACTCCCTGGACATTAGAGGGCTAATAAAGGAATATTTTGAACAATTCTATACTCACAAATTTGATAAATAAGATGAACTGAGCCGTTCCTCGAAAGGCACAAACTACCAGAATGCACAGCAGGAGACACATAATCTGACTAGGATTAAGTCCACTAAGTAAACTGAATCAGTTATTACTAATTTCCCAAAAAGAAAGCACCAGGCCCAAAGAGTTTCACTGGTGAATTCCACCAAATTCTTACACAGCAAAACATGGTTTTACCGCACCAGCAATCATGCTTCTAGGTATTTACCCAGTTGAGCTGAAAAATTACATCCACACAAAAGCCTTCCCAGGAAATTTTACAGCACATTTATTGATAGTCGCCAAAAACTGGAAGCAGCCAAGATGTCCTTCAATGGAGGAATAGACTAAAAAAAAAATTTTTAAACTGTGGTATAATCACACAATGGATTAATGTCCAGTGATTACTTCTTTTAAAAAACAGAGCTATCAAGCCACGGAAGAACCTTAAATATGTATAGCTAAGTGAAACAAGGCAGTCTGAAAAATCTACATGCTCCGTGATTCCGAATATATCACATTCTGGGAGAGGCAAAAATACGGAGACAGTAAAAAGATCAGCGGTGGCCAGTGGTTCCAGAGACGGGAGAGAGGCGTTAACAGGGAGAGTACAGAACACCATTAGGGCAGTGACGCTGCAGTGCTGAATACAAGACTTCATGTATTTGTCAAGAGCCATAGAAATGTGTAACGCGAAGAGTGAACCTTAATGTAAACTGTGGACTTCAGTAATAATACATCAATGTTGGTTCATTAACAGTCACAAACGCACCACACTAATGTAAGATGTTAACAACAGGGGAAATCATAGGTAAATAATGGGAGGGGGAGAGGAGGCAGTAAATGAGAACTTTCTCTATTTATCCGCTCAATTTTTATGTTAATTTAAAAATGTTTTAAATACTACAGTCTATTAATTAAGAAATAATCCGGCAGCCTTGTTTCAGCAAGAGAACTGTTTCTGCTAGTGTTCAGCAATCAGCTAATACCCAAACATTAGCTTGAGACATTGTTTACTACTAAACGTAAACCAAACCCGCGTTGTATACGCATCCTTACTTCTATGGTCATAGCACTACTGATTACTTAGTAAATTAAAATTTCCACACATGGCAAAAAAAAGAACATGGTTTAGCATTTTTATAGTTTTCTGTCACATAAGTTACACTGAATAAACTTCAATCATTATTCTTGAAATCTACTTGGTGGTTTAATTTCCACAGTACCTTCAGCTGACTTGTTTTTAGGGTGCACCTTGGGATGTGGTAGGATATCCATTTTTCTGATCTGCTGCTTGGGGTGAGATGAATATCTTCTTAAATGAGGAACCAGTTTTCTTTTGGTATTCATCAGGTTAAGATCCTGGGAAATGCATTCACAATAAAAAGAGCTGTTGACATCTTGCTGATGGAAGACCATAGGGAAATTAGTAATAATTTATTCAAAGTTCAAACTTTTGATCCCATTATTGATCAGCTGCCTAGTGGAGCCACCTGAATCGAAGTCAGGCTTCAGGAAGATCTTGCGGTTTGGTGTGTGCTTAAAACAGACAGATTGCTTGGGCAAATGCCTTTTTTCAGATGAGACAATACAGGAAGGCAGCACAGTATAGTGACTGAGAGCACGGGGCTGGTGTCTGATGACTGGGTTCGAATCCCACTAAAAGCCACATGAACTTGGGAAGGCTATATAACCACTCTGTGCCTCAGTTCTCTGCACTGTCCTATGAAAACTTTAATAGAACCTACTTTTTAGTATTATGGTATAAGGCCTCTATAAGTGTTCAATTGTTAAATGTCTAGACGAATAAGTTAGAAACTTGGTAGGGTTGCCTCTAGAGAGGAGACTAGATGGCCATAGGAGAGGGGAAGGTGGAAGGTTAGTTTTCATCCTTTACACGGGAAGGATGCTTTACAGCTCATGGAGAATATCTGTTATCGTCTCCTGTGATCCCCAATTTAGCCCCGTGAGGTGGGCAGAGCAGGGGCTGTAACTCACCTTATGTAGTTCACAGCATTGAAATTTAGAGATTTTAAGAGGCTTGTCCAGAGGCACAACACTGATGCATCATGATTCTTGGACAGGAATGTATTTGGTTCTGTGAGGACAGAGATCTCTAAACACCTGAGACCTCCAGATAGTGCCCTGTACATGAATCAGGAGCTCCCCTCACTCTCTTTCTCAAAATATCCTGCCCCAGGGTTTCTGCAGAAGACAGTTGACGCCCAGGAAGAGGTGCCTGAGACGAGATAAGGCCCCAAACCTTGACCCAGCCTCCTGCCTCTAGGTTTCAATCGCTGACTCAAAATACAATCCAGTTTCCTCAAAAGGAAACCCCTTTGAAAGACTAGGAGAAGTCCAACAGGAGCCATCCTTCCCCACCGTCTTCACACCAACAGCTCTCTCACATTGAGCCTCGCTGATGACCAGTTGACAACCCTGAGTGACCAGTGGCCTGCATGACAGACAAGCTGGCTCAGAACTCAGGACATTCCAAATCAACTGTCACCTGATGGCTCTGCCAAGACTTAACTTCCCTCCAACAGACCAACCCTGGATGAGCAGTTAATATGAATTAACTGGGAAAGTGGCCATCTGGGTTGGTGCTTTGGTGGTTTAATGAATTAAGTCTGTGACCCTCAATGGCTGACTGACTATTGATCTGTGCACCTGTCTGAGCAGCCTGGACTAATGCCTGGCTGAGAATGGGCAGTGGCTGCACCTTCCCTGCTCATTCCTTCCTCACCAAAATCCAGTCTCTACTCAACAAACTCCTCACCCATTCCTAGATCCTTCAGTGGCAGGGGACGGAGTCCCGTCTCCTCTTAGAGGGACCCCTCCATGGTCACAGCCTGGACACCTCACCCCAGGACCCTCCCTGAGGATCACCAGCCCCTCCTCCCCTCAGTTGCCAAATGTTCATTCCATTAACTCAATGGTCTTGTCCCTTGTTACCACTCTCCCCGGCAGCACCCAGACACCCAGTGATCTTGTCCACATCAATCCATGGAATTCCTATCATGAAATCTCAGTTTAGTTCCTTTCTAAATCTCTGGATTTAGACTGCTCACGTTTGGTTTCGGATTTTGACATCTACATTCAGGAGAGCTGACCTGTAATCTTCTTTTCCTGTAGTGTCTATGCTGGAGTGGTATCAAGAGTCTCCTGATCTGAATGGCTGTTATTAAAAAGACAAGAAATAACAAGTGTTGGAGAGGATGTGGAGAAAAGGGAACCCTCATACACTGCTGGTGGGAATGTAAATTGGTGCAGCCACTATGGAAAACAGTATGGAGATTCCTCAAAAAATTAAAAATAGAAATATCATATATTCCACACTCCTGGATATTTATCTGAAGAACATGAAAACACTAATTTGAGAAGATATATGCACCTCTATGCTCATCGCAGCATTATTCACAATAGCCAAGACTTGGAAGCAACCTAAGTGGCCCATCAATGGATGAATGGCTAAACAAGATGTGGTATATACAGTCACGCATTGCTTAACCACAGGGATACATTCTGAGAAATAAGTTATTAGGCGATTTCATTGTGCAAACATCACAGAATGTGCTTACGCAAACCTAGATGGTGTAGCCTACTACACACCTAGGCTGTATGGTAATCCCATGGGACCACCGTCGTATATGCGGTCCATTGTTGACTGAAACGTTGTAATGCAGCTCATGATTGTATATACAATGGAATACTACTAGCCATAAAGAGGTGAAATTTTCCCACTTGCAACACCGTGGGTGGACCCTGAGGGTATGATGCTAAGCAAAATAAGTCAGACAGAGAAAGACAATTACACTATGATTTGACTCATATGTGGAAGATAAACAAACAAACACATAGATATGGGGAACAGATTGGTGATTACCAGAGGGAAAGGAGGTTGAGGGAGCGCCAAAGGGGTAAAGGGGCACATGTGTGTGGTGAAGGATGGCAACTAGACTTTTGGTGGGGAACGCGATGCAGGCTGTACAAAAGTCAAAATACAATGATGCACACCTGAAATTTATCTTATAAACCAGTGTTGCCTCAACTAAAGAAAAACAAAAGATTCTCCTGATCTGATGAAAGCGCTGTGGGTGTGTTCCCTCTGTATCTGTTCTCTGGAAAAGTGTGTTCAAGATTGGCACTATTTCTATCTTAAATATTCGGAAGAATTCAAAGGAAGACACCAGGGCCAGAAGTTTGCTTTGTGAGAAAAATCTTCTTGGTATTTCTCGTTTTTTATTTGATGGCTGCTTTACATATTACACAGCGCACAGACATTAAGTATACAGCTTTATGGCTTCTTATAAACATGTGTATTGCCAACATCCAAATCAATATATAGAATTTCAGAAACACCTAGCAGCATTGTTTTTTCTGCTTCCCAATCAGCAACTCTCAACAGGTACCCACCCACCATTCTAACCAAGATTACTATGTTTTAGATTTCTCTGTTTTCAACATTAAATAAATGGAAACAGACAGTATGAACAACTCCTTTGTATCTGGCTGAATATTATGTCTGAATATTATTTGAATTCACCTATGTTGCTGTGAGAAGGAAAAGTCTATTTTGCATTGCTGTCTCAGTATATAACATTGAAAATATATGGCACAATAAGCTTACTTCCTCTACATTTTATGTACACTGTGTCATTTCCCATGGTGGTTACTTGGAATGATGGGCAATGCACGATTCTGTATAGGCCTCCAGGTGGGCATAAGCATGTATCAGTCATGTGTCTTGGATGCATGTGGCAGGGGTGGGATTGCTGTGTCATGAGTACAGATAACTGTAACACACACTGGAAAGCCACTCACCAAAGTGGCTGAAACCATGTATATTCCCCCAGCAACACAAGAGAGTCCCAGTTCCTCCACCTCCTCACCAATCCTTGGTTTTGTTAACCCTGGGACCATGTCCATTCTGGTGGGTGTAGGAGTGAGACGTTGAGGTTTTCATATGCGTTTTACTGATCACTAGTGAGGCTGAGTGCGTTTTCATATGCCAGAGCGCACTGAACTCACAGAGGCTTCGATGATTTGTGGTATAGAAAAGAGGAGCGCGGTGGATTATCCATCCATCTCAGAGAACTTCCACCCTTCTAAGTTTCCATCTGACCTAAAGGAGAGCCATGACCCTGCTTTACGGGTGACTCACATTACTAAGAGGAGATGTATATCCTCATTCTCAGAAAAAAAAAAAAAACCCACCATATCCCTCAGAAGACCCCCAAAATTCTTACAGAACTAGATCATCCAGATTTCAACCACAGCCTTCATTATTTTATGAACTTTGACCTATTACAATCTGACATGGTTCTATCTGCTGTGACAAGGCTTTAGCCTCTTTTAGAAGAGATTATAGCACTTGATTCCGTTGGTCTATCTATATGTTTATTTTTATGCCAGTCCTATACTGTTTTGTTTACTACAGCTTTATGATATCGTTTGAAATCAGGAAGTGTGATGCCTCCAGCTTCGTTCTTCTGTCTCAGGGTCGCTTTGACTATTTGGAGTCTTTTATGGTTCCATACAAATTTTAGCATTTTTTTTTCTATTTCTGTGGGAAAATGCCATTGGAATTTCATTAGAGATTACACTGAATCTATAGTGGCTTTGGGCAGTATGGACATTTTAACAATATTAATTCTTCCAATATGTGGCCTTGGGATATATTTCCATTTATTTACGTCTTTTTCAATTTCTTTCATGCCTATCTTGTAATTTTCAGTGTACAGATCTTTTACCTCCTTGGTTAAATTTACCCCTACGAATTTCTTTGATGCTGTTGTAAATGGAATGGTTTTCTTTATTTCTCTTAGAAGAAAACAGGGATAAATTTTCGTGACCATGACCTTGACATAATAAAGGGCATATATGACAAGCCCTCAGCTAGCATCATCCTCCACAGTGAAAGGTTGAAAGCTTTCCCTCTAAGATCAGGAACAAGACAAGGGCACCCACTCTCACCACTGCTTTTCAACATAGTACTAGAAGTTAAAGCCAGAGCAATTAAACAGGAAAAAAGAAATAGAAGGCATCCAAATTGATAAAGAAGTAAAATTGTCTCTGTTTGCTGATGATAAGATTTTGCATATAGAAAATCCTAAAGAGCCCACCAAAAAACTGTTATTACTATTAAAAGAATTCAGTAACGTTGAAGGATACAAAATAAATATATAAATATCAGTTTCATTTCTATACACTAACAATGAATGATCTGAAAAAGAAATAAAGAAGACAATCTCATTTACAATAGCATCAAAAATAACATAATACTGAGGCTGACCCCATGGCCGAGTGGTTAAGTTCGTGTGCTCTGCTTCAGCAGCCTGGGGTTCCTGGTTTGGATCCTGGGTGTGGACCTAGCCATACTCATCAAGCCATGCTGAGGTGGCGTCCCACATAGAAGAACTAGAAGCACCTACAACTAGAGTACACATCTTTGTACTGGGGGCTTTGGGGAGGAAAAGAAAAGAGGAAGATTGCCGACAGATGTTAGCTCAGGGCCAATCTTCCTCAACAAAAGAAATGTGATATAATTAAAAGATAGTTTGGTTTCATTGTTTAAAAAAACCCAACAACTTAATACTTAGAAATATGACCAAGAAAATAAAAGATTTGTATAATCTATACTATAGATTTTTTGGTATACTTATACCAAAAACTATAAGACATTGATGAAAGAAATTTAAGAGGATGCAAATAAATGGAAAGATATCCAGTGTTCACAGATCAGAAAAGTTAATATTATTAAAATGTCCATATTACCCAAAGCCACTTATAGAATGAATGTAGTCCCTATCAAAATTCCAAGGGTATTTTTCACAGACATAGCAAAAACAATCCTAAAATACATATGGAACCACAAAAGACCCCAAATAGCCAAAGCAATTTTGAGAAAGAACAGAGCTCGAAGCATCACACTTTCTGATTTCAAACTACATTCCAAAGCTGTAGTAATCAGAACAGTGTGATACTGGCATAAAAACAGACACAGAGACTAATAAAACAGAATCAAGAGCCCAGAAATAAACCCGTCCATATAGGGGAAAGTAATGTTTGACAAGAAAACCAACATGATTGCTGGATCACATAGTAAGACTATGTTTGCCTTTGTAAGAAACTGCCAAACTCTTTGGACTAACTCTTACAAATTACTAGACTCCTGAAGGAGTTGCATCAAGCCTAACACTGTAGACATGAGACAGATGGCACCTTTAGTCTTTGTTCTCGTACACAAACTAATAGATGTAGACACAAATTCGCATACTTACTACAAACCTCACACTCTTGATGGAGGATAAGCATACAGCCAGCACAGCAATGAATTTCAAGGCTGGTAAACACTTACCATGCGTGAGCATCATCTCATTTAACCCTCCCAACAACGCTACAAGACACACTCTGTTATCATAGCCATTTTACGGAAAATGGATAGACGTTAAATCACACAGCTAGACAGACGCAAAGTGAGAACTTGAATTCAAGCATTTTGGCTCTAGATTCCATGCTTGTAGCCACCTTAATCTACTTTTGCTGGAGCAGCTCAGGGTAGAGGGAGAGAAAAGCAAAAAGACTTTCCAAAAGGAAAGTTAGAAGCATGTGGTAAGGAGAAAGATGGAGTCTTGGCAGCTTTCCAGACCCTAGAATGTGCAGAGAAAAACTGTGGCTTCAAGTCACATAATCCAGGGGTGAGGCAATTGCTGGCTAATTCTGTTGCATCTCAAATGTCTCGTTTAACTCCTTCAACTCCCAAGTAGACGTGTCCTTCAGTCACCAGTTCAGTGGAAGAGTCAATACATCATGGTCTTGAGGCAAAGATAAGTACCTGTCACGGCCCCTGAGGAAATACTGAACACCCAGCAAATGCAAATATCAGGGTAGTTTCTTCAAATATCCTTTTCCCCACCCTACCCTCTCCATGGGCAAGAGCCTTTCCACACAAATTGTGAAACAAAGGGAATGGGACAAGTGAACTCACATTTCTTTCCTGGTTGATTGAAAATAAGTGTTTAGTGACAGATTCCACATGGTCTATTTGTAGGAGCTAATTCCTGAGTCTTAACACAAACTTTGAAAGGTCGTCAATGCAAAAGAGAAGGTTCATTTACA